ACTTGGCATTTAGAAGGATTCAAACGAGCAAACTTATTCAACTTAATTTTGATCCAGTTCATTATGTTTCCAAATTGTCGTTTATTTGTATTGCCTGCAGGAATTCCAAATGGGGTTCCCACTTGCTACAACGTATTTGCAGCAAAAGATGAGAATCTTGATAAGAAAGGAACGGATTGAAATTCAAATCAGGCTCTGCTCGGGGATAAGGGGCCGTATAAGAGAAACGATGAAACTTTCATCGACGTGTCGCAGTGCAGTTTTGTTCAACAGGGCTAGCTCAAATAATGGAATGTGGAATTTGGTTGCAGAGACTTTTAGATCCGGTCCTCTTCTTTTGTACATTTTGGGGGAGATTTTTAATCAAAACTGAAGTTTTAAGAAGCTGTAGTCAAATTCTAGATTTTCAAGTTCGGTCTGCAAAGAGTGATTGTGAAAGGTTTATTGAAAAAATCCTGCTTGATAAAAAATTTATATCTACCAAAAAAATGTTAAATTATAATTTAGCCAACCTGTTTTTGTAATTTAAAAATCGATTTATCTTAAAATTATCTTATTTTCAGTAGAATTTAATATTGTCTCAAAGAGAAAAGATTTAAATGGATTGGTTTGCCAGAACATGTTTTAGGCGCCGAGGTTTTTTTTAAATGAAGGCACCCTCGTTAATTTGGGTTCAATCGGCGGGGGTATAAATCTCAGGCACGCACGCACGAATCGCCTCTACATACGAAACAATCAAAGTTCTCTTGTAGAAAGGAAGAAAAGAAAGGAAGCAAGTGAGCCGTTAAGAAAAAGCTTTTAACTGCGGTGATTGGAGCGGATTTGAGCAATTGTGTTAGTCAGAGAGACCTTTTTTGCTTCTCGGTGCAAATCTCGAATGCTCACTGCGTGTGTGTTGCAGATCTGCTTTTTCATTAAACTTTTATTCGTAGAAGAGGAAGAGAGAATTTATCCCTCGCCAAAATAGAAGAGAGGAAAATCAGTCTGGGGTGCTTTTTTTGTTCCGAGTGGACCGTTGGAATATTAGCGGCGTCACGAACACTCCGGCCTCTTCTCCAAAGGAGGTCCAGTGCTCGACAGGCGGTCGGAAGCAAGTAAACAAAATCTGTCTGTCACACCCAAGGTCGCATGGTCGGCGAATATTGCGAAAATTGAAAGCGAGGGAGGTGATTTCAGAATATAGACCTTCTGCTATTGAGGCAAAGAAAGAAAGCGGCACTCTCCCGTTAAAAGGTGTACTCTTACTTCCTATCTTTTTGCAAAAGCCCTCAGAAAAATGGGTGGTGTGTGAGACAAGTGCTTGGGAAGTGGTTCATCCATTCTTCACCCTATTCTGCCATTAGCACAAAGTATATCCAACAATTTTACTTGAAAATATAAATTCTATTATGTGGAATTTTGTGATGCGAAATTTAATTGTGTTCATTGAATTGTTTTCCGTTTATTGCCCCAGAAAATGTTAATTCCGTTTTAAAATTTTGTGACTTGGAATTCCTTTAACAAAAGCCAATAAATAATAAATTCCTCATTCCTCTCCCAATCTTTACTTTTGTAAAAGCAAATATTTCCAAATTTTCCTCAGGCAGGAACGCTTTTCTGACGCAGACCGAATTAATTAATGTCATCAATTCGATCGACGCGCCAAAGTAATATTATTAATTGGTCTCAATTTGCACTCGCTGTCAATCAAACGCGATCAATTTATTTTCCCGCCCTCTTCTCCACCATCAATAAACCTCAGCTGCGGACAAGATTAAAGACTCGCAACACATTGATTAAATCGAGCGGCGCAAAGCCGGCAGACAAATTCAAAATTCAACTCCTCCGACCCTAGCGGTTGCTTCTGCTGCCACCAACAGATATGTGAAGTGGTTTACGGTGTTTGTGAGCAAAGATTAAAGTGAATAAATTTCAGCAGCAGCCAAGTAACTTCCCGCCTAATTAGCCTCACTGTGTACACGCACAGGGTTCCGATAGAGGAAAAGCTCACGCCGTGTAAATCAAAAGAGAATCGCTCTTACTTTGCAACAACTGTTGCCCGGCGAGAATTCACAGGTTATTAAGGCAGTATTTTACGAATGAAATATTGCGAGCAATTCATTCGCGCACTGCATATTTCCCAAGAGTGGTTGCTTTTTAAAATAAGTTGAGTTAATATAGTAGTCTGGCGTATATATACATCATGTGTGCACGCTGATGGTGTTGTATTTTAGTCGATCGATAGTTCTACTTTTCCCTTCATAATACATTTTGAAACGCCAAACTTTCACTTTACCAAATTCATTTAGCCCAATTAGTCAAAGCATACACATTTATTTTTAAAATTTCTATTGAATTTAATTTAAAAATATATAAAATTTTATTACATGATGATGAAATGAAATATATTGAATTTTAAAATGACAGGAGCAAAAGCCAAATCTTAATCTAAAAATCCAGTCCCCCATAGAAGGGTTGTTGGGTTGGTAATAAAAATATAAAATTTTAAGGAAAATCCATGGCAATATAGCAAAAGAAACAAGTTAACAAAATGCTCATAAAATATAATCACGAGATCACGATCTTTTTACGATTCATGCCTTCTTCGTTTGCATTATAAGAAATAAGATATTACATATATGATACTTTCAAATGGAGACAGATGATTTATTGTGGAACTTTTTGGTTGCGGAATGAAATGACGAAAACTTTTCTGACAATCAGCGTAATATATTCTGAATTGGTTTGTTCCACAAGGGAGCAATGCGAGTTCGCCAATTCAACGCAGATATTTGTGCGTGGATACTGAGAATTCATCCGTCTGCTTTTAGGTAAAACTTTAGCGTGTTTGGAAAGTGCATACGTGTGTGTTATTGATGTGCTCAAGCGAGGCATATTCTCCACCTGAGAATCCAAACGATGCCCTTGACAGGCGCTCGTCTCTCCTCCCACATGTTGATTTGTGCTCCAAACTTTGACTGTTGAAGATTGGCGGAATACTTTGTCTGAACTAACTTGATTGAATCTACATGAAGAAAGGAGTACGTATTTTATCTAAAACTTGCAAATTAAAAAACAGTATTTCACACAAGTTAACAATTAACACATATGAAATGGCAAAGCATACAGAAAAATTAATTAAACTAAACAAAAGTAAATCAAAATGAAAAATGAGATAGTTTGAGGTCCATGAAATATTGTTAAAAGTAAAAAAAATATTATTTATTATTAAAATATGAAATAATTTAAGGTTCAAATTCAAATCATTTTAATTAATGTAAAACGTGGCATTCTCTGCCCAAATACATCATCTATAGTTTCATTATTGATTACTAATTTTATTCGTTATATTTTGGTTACATTTAATTTTATAAATATCAGTATAATAGGTATATTATATCCAATCACAATTGTTAAAAAGAACAAAATTTTTATTGTGAATGCATTTTTTAAAGCATGCTAAAAATTTGACAACTGTTTAACTTGATAAATGTATTTTGTTTTAAACATTTGTATTAATTTGTACTCCCTCTTTGTTATCTCGCATGACTCAGCATGACTTATTGTTAGTAAAATTAAATTGACAAACGTTGTCGGCAAGCAACTTCTTCCCGCCGTGCCAAAACCGCACAACTTGATAATTGATGGGTGTCAAGTTTGTGTGCTTGTTAGTCTGGTTTTCGCCTTTGTATGTTGACGGACATTCGAATTCGCGAATTTAATTCGGAGCGTGTTCTGCGGTTTGCCTAACTCGCAAAACTGAGCCTGCGTGAGTTTGCATAGCGGTCTCGCCACCAAGCGAATTCGGATTTCTGAATTCAATTGTGAACGCGAGATGATCCTGGCACGTTGAATCTCATTACAATTAATTGGTCTGATTTGGGTCGGCGCGGAAATGAAGCAAAAACGTGACTTACTTGACGGTGCAAACGTCAACTTTGTCAATTATTTATTTCATTCTGTAGAGTTTATACACGTGACGAATATTATGCTATTTCACCCAGATTTCAGAATAATATGACTAATAATAATAAATTAATAAATTTATTTTGTTGAGTATTGTTCATAACAATTTAGTCAGTGTTCTTAATTCATATAATAGTTTTATCATACATAGATGTGAACAAATAAATCGGCATAATGTAATTGTTCATTTCGAAAAGTTTGTTAAATGACCTCATGTAAAAACATTAATTAATCACACCTCAATATTGGGGTATTTAAAATGTTTCATAGTTACAACCGCCGCCGTCACCAGATTTTTATTTTTTAATTGAGGTTAATCAAATAAAAGGTTAAGAATGCAAAAAGAATTTCATCTGCGAGGATAATGAGGTTTTTTTTGGATATCCATTACTTTTTCAACAATGAAAAATATAATCTCAAGAGTAGAATAAAACTGATTTATATCTCCGATTGTTGCAAAATATAGTGTCAGGAAGTAAATTGCAAAGTTCGGTGCTGGATTCTTTGCTCTTTGGTTTGATCAATTTACTTTATAGGTATGAAAATTAACTATTTTATTTTGCCTTACATTTAACCAAAGTTTAGCCTTTTCACGCTATGTAAAAGGGTAGCATTTAAATCACCTTTGCTTTTGTCTCTCGATTGAATCAACCCCGTCATCAACCGATCCATTTGGACAGCTTCAGGCCAAACGTCTTTAATTATCAGGTCCCAAAATTTGAAATGAAAAGAAATTCTCGCCATCGATACCAACAAAAAGATTTTCTTCTCTTAATTAAATTAAGATTCAGGCGTTTTATTTATGCCTTTCCAAAATTGACTGTTTTTGAGACACGATTCTACTTCCAGAATGGAAGGGTCTGTTTTGAGTGATGGAAAAGTCATTTAATCCAAATCTGCCTTTTAACTTTGACCCTTTCCTCTTCATTTAGCTTGACGCGCATCACCGAATCAGTCAATCACACTTTGATTCGAACGTGCGAATACATTATTTATTTTGACAGTTTGTTATTTGTGCGCGGTCGAGACCCAACGCTCAAAAGCGAAAAGTTAATATGGAGGAAAAGGAGGCTAATGTGGAACTCGGCGATGATCAGGGTGAGGTAGACTTCAACCCCTTCAAGAGCCGCAACCTGAAACACCCTACTACGTAAATTGAATTAATGATCATAAAAAAATCTTAATTTTTTTACCATGCATTTATTGCGATTTATTGGTATTTATATTTTTGTTCAAATCTAGATTTTTTATTCTCAGGAATGTTGACACCCTGATCCACCTGCTGAAGGGCAGTCTGGGAACGGGAATTCTGGCCATGCCCCAGGCCTTCCTGAACGCAGGAATGACGTTTGGCCTGGTGGCCACTTTCGCCATCGGCTTCATCTGCACCTACTGCGTGCACATTCTGGTAAACTTCCTTCTAAATTTCATGCGCTTACCGTTTTCATATTTTGGCTCTCGGCAGGTCAAGTGTGCCCACGAGTTGTGCAGGCGAACAAAGACGCCTGCCCTGGATTTTGCTGATGTTGCCGAAGTCGCTTTCAAAAATGGCCCACCCCTGTTGAGAAAATTCGCGGCAGCCGCCAGGTTTGTTAATATTCTTTTTAGGAATTAATTAATAACGGCTCTAATAGAATGGAAGAGATGTTTTAACAGCAAATTTTTTGAGCTATTTCATCGGACGTAAAATACACTATTTGAGTGTAAATTCACCTTTTGTCTAGATCAACAATAAACACTTTCCTTGTTGTGAATCTTCTTGGGGCCTGCTGCGTCTACACCATCTTTGTTGCACATAACATCAAGCAGGTTGGGAAATTTATGTTTTACCTTTAAAAAAAATATAACCATATTTTAGATTCTGAACATATTTTAGTTTCAAATTACGTTTTGAATCATATTTTACTGATGAGATAAAAAGTAATGTGAGGAATTAAAATTCATAAAAATTAAAGTTGAGTAATTTTTATTTGACAAAACAAATGCAAGTAATCATGGCTATAGCAATTAAAGTTCAAGAATATAACAGAATTTAAAAAATATAAAATAATTAATGTTTATTATTCAAATTTCTTCACTGATGACTTCAAAGAATCTGAAAACTAAAAATTACATTTTATTTGGATGTTTAATTTTTAAGTAAAAAATAAACATTTATTAAACGATTAATATAAGAATCGTATTCAGTGGTATTAAAAGTTAAGAAATTTATAAATAGTATACATAAATAGGTGGCTGACCACCACTGGCAGCTCGGATGGGACACCCGCGTCTACATGGTTTGCCTGTTGGTGCCGCTAATTTTGCTCAACATGATCCGCAACCTGAAGCTGATGGCCCCCTTCTCGATGGTTGCTAACCTGCTGATGGCCACTGGCATGGCCATCACCTTCTACTACATCTTCCAAGACGTGCCCAGCGTGACCGAGAGACCCCAGTTCTCCTCCTTCCACCAACTGCCCCTCTTTTTCGGCACTGTCATCTTCGCCCTCGAGGGAATTGGAGTTGTAAGATTTCTTTCTTTTGAAAATATTTACTGTTTGTAAAAATATCTTAAAGATACACTTAACGTTTGGAAATTTGTGTAAATACTATTTTATTTGCAGGGTGGGAAAAGCACACTAAAAAAAAACATAAATTATTAGTATTTGGTTTGAGTAGTTGAAAAATAAATTATAGAACACAAAATATCTAATAAATTTCAATGACTATAAGAAAATAAATATTTTCCCAAACAAATTTTAAGGGGATAAAATACTAAAATTTTTATTTGCTAAAGGTGAATTTTAACAAAAAATGTATGTGATTGCAAAAAAAAATCAATTTGTGCTTAAAAAAAAAACAGTGAAATCATTGTGATTTTTTTTTTAAGTGGTTATACTTTTGAAATAACTACGAATTTTTAATTTTGTGCAGGTTATGTCCCTTGAGAACAACATGGAGACTCCTCAACACTTTATCGGCTGTCCCGGAGTGCTGAACATTGGCATGACCGTCGTCACCGCTCTTTACAGTGCAGTCGGTTTTTTCGGCTACCTCAAGTACGGCGAGGATACTAAGAGTGCAATCACCCTCAACCTGCCTGTAGATGAAATGTGAGTGATTTTTTCTGGACAAATTTTTGGTGAATAAAATTCAACTCCGCAGCTTGGCGCAATCAGTCAAGATTATGATCGCAATAGCCATTTTCCTGACCTACGCCTTGCAATTCTATGTTCCCTTTGATATCATCTGGCGCAGTGTTAAACCGTACTTGAAGGAAAAAAATGAGCTGGTGATGGAGTTTGCTTTGAGGATAACCCTCGTCGTTTTCACCGGTAATGGAAATAAAAATATTATTAAAAAAAACCTTGGATCAAATTTCCAGTCAATCAAATGTTTTAAAAATCAATATGAAAATGCATAAAAATGTTGCAAGGGAATTGAATATTATATATAATATTTTTTAGTACACAAACTAAACTGCTATTAACAGTGGGTTATAAAAAACTTTAATCAAATATCTTATCCCCATTTTTCTCATCAGTTATTCTGTTACATTAACAGACGTTTTTCAAAACTTCTAGTCGCATTTTTATTAATTTAACCTATTCATATGCATTGCCAGTTGCTATTGCGGTCGCCATGCCCAACCTGGGCCCCTTCATCTCCTTGGTTGGTGCTGTATGTCTCTCCACCCTGGGCCTCGTGTTCCCCGCTATTATCGAAATCGTCACTTTCTGGGACGAACAGTCGACCGGTGCGTTGAATTACTAAATCTCATTTAAAAAAAATATATCTCATGATTTTTTCTGCAGGCAAGTTCAGGTGGCTTCTGACTAAGAACTTGGCTATTGTGACTTTTGGAATCCTTGGTTTTGCCACCGGAACCTGGACAAGCATCGAGGAAATCATCGCAGGCTCCGCATGATGGATTGAAAATCACCACAACACGGCACAACACATCGATTTTTACCAAGGCACATCATAATAATTCTGTGTTATTTATTGTTAGGAGTTAATTAAATCATGGAAGAGTTCAATTATATCTTATTATTATTAGAAATAAAGATCTAAAACGTTTGATAATTTACAACTTAAATTATTTAACTTAAATGATACTTTTACGTAAAAGTTCAAATTTTTTGAACGAATACCGTTTGATGGACCATATTATCAATTGATTTTTGCCTGTGCGACGATTCAGTATTTTTCTCCAGAATGGAAAAAGCGGCGCGCAATCGTGGGTTCGCGCATGTGTTGAGCCGCGTGGCACTTTTGGAGCCTGCGAAAGGAGCACAGCGTCTGCTTTTCGCCAGTTGGTGGTCGGAGCGACGTCAACAACAGGCAACTCTCGCCTCCTTTGCTCGCGGTCTCTCATATTGCCGGCGTAAGTACACTTGATACGTCCTCACATTCCTTTGCTTGTAATTCAGACCCCTCGTTGCGCCAAGAGATTCAAAAACAGATTTTCTCTCTCTTGATCTTGTTCAATATAAAAACTGCAATTTAAAATATTTAAAAAAATCCATAGCACAGAGTAAAAAAATCATTTTTAAATTTTAGGTCGAAATAATGTTTTATAAAATTAATTTGAGGACATCATGTTTTTTATAGATATTATATGGATTCATTGAGCATAAAATAAATGAATAAGAGTCCAGCTCTGTAGTGCATACATTTTTAATGCCTAAAATCACTTCAAATTCAATTCTATGCAGTCCCTAGCTCCTTAAAACTCTTGCGTCTCTTGCGTTACAAAATGATGAAGTTTGTTCAAAAAAATTCTTTTTTCTCACAAGGGCATTCTTCATTCAATTCTGCAATTTTTTCCCTCTGTTACTGGATTGGAAGAATATATTTATTCGTTTGATTATTTTCATCTGTTCAAGCTTTGATTTAAGGTTCTAGAAACGCTTTATTTCGCAAATTATTTCTACGTATCACGTGATTAAGTTTATGAACAAGTTGTCCAAACTTTTCTTAAGTTCTTTCCACGGAATTGTTTTGCAAGACTTTTTGCCTCGTTTTGCGCCGCAAGACGTTTTCCGCTCAATTAAAGCAATTCATGTTTTAGCCCGAGTCAACTCAAGCGTGCCTAGGTAATTAGAGTTTTGTTGCAATTGCGTCCTTTATCTGCATTAGACCATCTTTCCGCAGGACGATTTTAATTAAACGAAAGGGTCACTTTTCCTCTTATATTTAAATATATAAAGCAAAGTAGGCGGAAAAAAAATTCCAAGAGGAAAGGAGAAAAAAAGAATAAACATATTTTTCTGCAGAGGTTTTCGCAAAGTTGGAAAACTTTTGCTTAGCAATGAAAGTTGTGCATAATTGGCGATTATTTTGAAGCGTGTATTTCTTTGACTGATCCGAACGAGCTGAAGTGCTGTTGAAATGTAAGTACTCGTAAAACGCTGTGGAAAGTGGGCTCTCTCGTTTTAATCAAACCGCCGAGTGAGAGAGACGTTCCCCCGGGGGTTTTCGGCAAAAGCTGCCGCAACTTTTTGCTTAATCGTCTGCCACTACAGGCGAGCACGTTTCTTCGAGAGAAGCGCTATTTAAATGAGCAATAAATATATTCCTTGCCAACTGACGCTCAACTCGGAGCAAAGCGCTCAAAATAATCGTAAGTTTTTACAATATAAAAACCAAAGCAGCTTTCCTGACCGTATTTAAACAAAGCGTGTGCCAAAAAGCAGATTTCAATTCTGTTTGAAAATAATAAATGCAAAATATCTTTGCAAAATTCTTTAATCCAGAAAGGAACACTCCCTAGCATTCTTATTCAAAAAGAAAATTTGTCTTTGAATCTTTTCAAGTGTTCCGAAATTGATTTTAAAATATAATATATGAAAATTAAATTAATCATTAAATTTCTCAATAGTTTTCATTTCAATTTGATTTGTTGCTGTCTCTTTTCTAAGATTTTATCCAAAAAATACAGTTTTGATGAAATCCATTATTGGCCAATAAATTAATTTTTTTCGCATTCATTATTTCATATTTTTCTGTTGTAAAATATAGTTATAAGTTTGATCAAATGTTTCTAATTATTTTAAAACTTTTTGCACTAGAAAACTTCTTACTTATTGTGAGTTCTGGACACTTAAGAAAAACTCGTTGATATGGATTGCAGCGTTGAAACTTTCCCCACAAATGAAATAGGTCTTGGAGTGCAACTCCGTTTGCGATGGTCTCTCGAGTTACGAGTATTGAGAGTATATTGAAAGTTGGTGTCGGTAGTTGCTGAATTTATGCTTTAAGTTCTTCTTCACACACACATTTTTTGTCAACTCTATGTAAATTTCCTTCGAAATGGAAAAGTTAAATGACTCGAGATGGAAATATAAAATCTGATGGCTGCAAACTTAACTGTGCAGAGAGAGTGTAATGAAAAAAGCGGAAAAAAGGAAGTGAATATGTGGAATAGAAAAATGTGCGGAAACGTACAACAATGAAGACCGCGCACTTGTTCTTCATTCACACATTTGTCAGCAGCGCTATTTACTTAATGCTGGACTATGTCGCCATTGTCGCCGCAATTTTTCCTCGCAGCCGAGAAAACTGCTCTCCCATATATAATATTCTCAGCAGGCTTATTCTGAGCTGTCCGAGCGAGCGAGCGAGTACTTGAAACCGCAATTTTCTGCAGATTTTAACCTACTTCTAGCTGAGTTCAGAATTTCAAGTTTTCAAGTACGGCAGTGGAACAAATTGCGCGCCTGAAGTAGAAATTCTCCCTAAGTGGATTATGGAACTGGCCAGGATTCACAATTAGCCTCCCCCTCCAAGCTCTTTTTCTTGCTGGAAAATTTATATTCGCTAACGGCTGAAAGAAATCGTAAATTTCGATCCATTTGCCAGATTGCCTTTCCAACTTCTTTATTTTCCGAGGGAACCAACAAGTCTAATTTTATTTCATAATTCATTTACAAGGAGGAAAATTTGTCATAAAAATGTTTTTGTGAGGATTTTAAGAGTTTACATTTACAACATAAATTTTGAGTTGCGACTTTAATAAAATTATCAGAAAGTCGCCGTCTCTTATTGATTAGCAGCTCTCGGTTTTCATTTAATGAAGGAGTTTTCTTCCAAATTCATTGGACGATTCAGTAAAAATTGTATCATTATTTAGTGTTATTCAGTTTGAATGTATACAAATATCAAGCTAACAATTTGGTGTATAAAAAAGTTAAAGGCGGTTTAAATGTGTTCAATTTAAATTCAATTTGAATCTGTTATCTACTTTTTGGAAGACTCCTTTTTTATTGAGATAAAGGACTAAAATTTCCATTTGAATGTAACGGAAAGCCTATTGAAACAGATATAAATCCTTATGACACCAATGAAAATGTACAGAAAAGAATTATGTGCGGAATATGCAAATTTATCCATCTTAATGCGTAAGGTACAATGCATCTCATTTTTGAAATGGACTCTTTTGCGCTCTTTTTATTTTCTTTAGGACTTTTTCTGCACATCTGACGTGACTTTTATTGGCTGTGTATCACCTCTTCAGGTGGAGGCAATTTTTCTAAAAGCTCCACATGCCACTTTTTTTCAGACGCTTTTCATTACTTTTCTTCTTTTGCTAAAAAGGATGAAGCCCAAATCCGGTATCGATTTCCCAAAAAATCACGTGAGTGGAAAAATCCATAACAATTTTCACGACGTATGAATGGAGCCAGACAGAGTTTTGAAGTTTATTTTATATCCGAAGGGGGCAGACGCCAATCCTATTAACAGATGGACCGGATGAAGCAAGATTTATTTTATTGGAAGAAATGATTTTCTGATTTGCGAAAACTTTATGGCAGGACTGCTTTGATAAAGGCACAATCAATTTAGCCAGATTCGTGTGCTATTCTAACTGATTTCTGTTTGGTTTTCTCCGCCTCTCCAATTAATCACTTGGCCAGCCGACGTCCGGAATCAAATAGCCTGCGGCAAAGAAACAAGACCAAACCATTCATCACTCGCTGATTTATTTACCGTCCGTCTGCGTCGAAGCTTGAAAAATTCGTTTGGAACAACAAGTGTTGAATACAAACTAACACAAGGCCCAACGTGAGCCTAATGCAAATGACGCACGCGTGCGTTCGACAGCATAATTTCCCAGTTGTGTGCTTGCCAGATAATGTAGCTCTAAGCCCTGCATCCGAGTTAATGAGAAATTGAACCTAGAATAATCTACGTGACTAACAACAAAATCGGTATTGCTAATGGTAATGGAGAATTGAAATTGGCCCAATCCTTTGAGGCTTCTTCGTTTTGAATTGCATTTCCTAATTGTGTGAAGTTTTGAGTAATGAATTTAGGGAATTTAGTTATGGTGCTCAAAACAGCTTAGTTATTGCACGTTAATATGCTGAATATGTGGTTTATCTATTGACATAATTTGATATTACATCCATCATTGGGGATCTGTAGCAGAAATAATTGACACAGGCTATACTTATTTTTAATTCATGTTAATTTGTTCCAAAATTTTTACAACACAATTGTATAAAAAAAATGCATTTTTAGTAGATTTAATGTATTTTTAATGTATCTTGAGGGTCCAATCTTAAGATGATGTTTGCGATTTTATGGCTACAAACTTGTCTGGGGTAATTATTTTATTTAATTGAAATAAAAACAAAATTCATCTCAACCTTTTTGCTCAAGTCGTCGCCATATTAGCTAAAATTAATACACTTTAACAAGGAGAAAATATTTTTACATGAACTGAAAACGGCTTATCTGCTTACAAACTACATATTTAATATATTTAATCGTCTAACGGTAGTTTGATAATAATAATTTTGAATTCGTAAAATCTATATTGAATGCCAATGCCAATATAACACGTCTTGTAAGGAAATTAGTATCTACAATTTGAGCAACGGTTGGGGGTTTTAGGAGCCAATTAAAAAAAATTGCACTGCATTGTCATTGGACTGTAAAAATTTGTTTGGTGAAAATTTTAAATGAAAATGGCCAAATAAGAATTAACATATTGAGGGGAGACTTTTTACTTTCATAATTGTGTTTTTAAGGTAAAATTTTGATGATTGCAGCAACGTAGAATTTACATAAAATGCAGTTTACATTTTGAAAAAGGTGTAAATATTTGTCACATAATAATTCACAATGTTTTCTAGGCAGGGCTGTGTTATTTTGGATGCAAAGTTGGTGCAAAATGTCCGCCATTCACAAACAAACGTGTCCATCTTTGCATAATCAAATTGTGATGCCGACCAGTGGCCCTTTAAAATTCAACACAACTTTTCGGCACGCGCGCTGAAAGCCGTGGCTCTAGTGTGTTCAATAAAATTTCAACAGCAGCCGCATAAAAGGAAATCAGCAATTTAAATGAAGTTAAAAAAATGTGGCACTCGCGTCCTT